GATGCCTGATGAAGAAGCATTTTGTGTTCTTGTCAAAATAATGAAATTTTATAATTTACGTGGTCACTTTTTACCGGGTATGGATGGTCTTCAATTGAGGCTTTTTCAATTTGATCATCTGGTTGAAGAAATGCTACCTAAACTTCATCAACATCTCCGGTCTCAAGGAATAAACTCATCGATGTATGCATCACAGTGGTTTATGACACTTTTTGCATATAAATTCCCTCTACCATTGGTTTTCCGGATATATGATACTATTTTTATGGAAGGAATTGAATCTATCTTTCGATTTAGCATTGCATTGTTAAAAAAAAATGAAAAGAAATTGTTAGAAATGGATTTCGAACAACTCTTAGAATATTTAAAGAGTGGTTTATTTGAAAGTTATCAGGTATACATGGGAAAAACTTTTTATCTTATGAATTATTTAATAATTATAATTATTATACATTATGTAGGTCACAGCCACGGGTGTTCTTGCACAATTGATTACAGATACTCAATACAAGACAAACGAATTTGTTAAAGATGCTTATAATATTAGAATCACACCCAAGAAGCTCACGAAATATCAGCAGGCATATTACGCACAACAAGAAGCTGAAAAACGACGACTAATGTCAGAGGCTGAAGCCATAGAGAAGATAAAGACAAATAATTACCATTTAACTAATCAAGTTAAATATTTAGAGAGTAATTTACAAGAACTTAATCGAGAACATGTCGAATTGGCTAATGAACTCGTAAATACCAAAGTAGAGCTCGCAAAGGTTAAAGATGATAATGAGGAGCTTCAAATGACTGCTTCAGATTTACGTAAAGTTTTGCAAGCCCAACCAATTGAAATTGAAAACAATTACAAAGAACAAATTGATTCTTTAACACAAAAAAATGTGACACTAATAGAGCGTAATAATACCCTGGAGGATCAGCTTGCAGGTTTGGAAAAAATGTTAATTGAAATGAAAATGCGCTACGCTGAAAGTGAAAATGAAAGAGAACTATTGAAACGAAGGTTGAATGATCTAAAAAAAGCGTTGGGTTAGTTAGTTGATTATAGAAAATGTTTTCTCAAAAAGTTGTACGAAATCAGATATAGATTAAAAAAAAAAAGCGCTATATTTATGATTTCCATTACTAAGATTGGTTATATGTGTATATAATGTTTTTATTAGTGTTGCAATTTGTTTCCTTTAGAAAAAATTTGTCACATTTAAATAGCCTTTTATTCCTTTTGATAAATTTATTCATATTTATATCTTATTTATATAAACATAGATTTTAATATAATCGGTATTGTAATGTTTTAAATTTTTTTTTTGAATGTGCGTATTCGAAGACTTGAGATTAAACAAAATTCATAAAAGAATGTCGTACGTACGCACGTATTTTACCAAATTTTAAATTAGACCAAGTATGACTGGATAATTGATATTTTCAAATAAAAGGTATA